CTCGACAGATCCTTCGGCCAGGGTGGATATATTGGGTAAGTGGATGAGAGACGGGAGAGTAAAGAAGGGAGAAGAAGGAGAGGAAGAAGAGAGGGAGATAGGGAAAGTGAGGGTGACGGGGAGGGTGAGGGACAGGAGGAATGAATGGGAGAGAAGGGGAGGGAGGAGAGAATGAAAGTGAGGTAGATAGATAGATAGATAGAGAGAGAGAGGAAGAGGAGGAGGAAGTGGAGGGGGAGGGAGAAGGAGAGGAAGAATAGATAGATGGAATGAGAGAGAGAGAGTTGGGGAGGGGAGGAAGAGGGAGAGGGACAGATAAAGAAATGAGAGAGAGAGATGAGAGAGAGAAGAGAAAGAGAAGAGAGAGAAGAGAGAGAGAGAGAGAGAGAGAGAGAGAGAGAGAGAGAGAGAGAGAGAGAGAGAGAGAGAGAGAGAGAGAGAGAGAGAGTTTTGTTTTATAACATTGCCACACTACTCAGCATTAGCAACTCAAACAGACGGACAACAATTACTAAAAGTATAAAAATCCACACAACAAAGTGACCAACAAACCATGATAAGTTCCCCCTCCTTAAACAAGAGCAAAGTAAACAAACAAACAAAGAAGCAATCATCAAGTTCAAAAGAGAGATAGAGAAAAAATGAAACTGAAAGCTCTTACTCTAACATCTTAATGGCAGCGTCTATAGACAACAACAACAACGACAGCAAAAACAAGATCAAAGACTTGGAGACCCAAAGGCTTTCAGTATTTCGAGGTCAACGAATGGATACTTAAGACAAACAAGAGGAATGAGTTATGCAGTCGACCAGAAGTGGAGCGGAAAGATAAAGAAGACATTTTCCTGATTTTTTTAAGGGGACAGTGAAAGCAGAATTTATTCTTGGAAGATCCATTGAATATTTATTCTTTTCTGAATGGGATATAAAAACTCAATACATTTTTTTTTGTATTGGGATGCTGAAATAATTGAATATATTCTGTAAAGAATCATTGAAACTAGACGTCTTGCTTCTGAGGAAAAAAGACACCGAATCTTTTTCTTGAGAAATTATAATTGTTTCTAGATAATAGAAAAGGGGAAAGAAGAAGTTGATAGAAAAAAACAACTTACTTAAAACAAAGTTGAAAATTGATACACTGAAAATATATGAATAAGTTTGTTCAAAGGGATAGTATAAGAGATGTACAAACTTTTGAACGGTTTAGCGCGAAAAAATACCAAGAGAAAAGTTTCTTTTTCAGTTCAAAGAACTAAAATGAAATAAGGAGATAGAAGACAAGAAAAGGCAGAAAGACAGTAGATAGGAGAAAAAAGATTGATAAAAAGAGACAGACAAAGAGATGGATAGATAGACAGATATAGGGTATATGGTGTGTGTGTGTGTGTGTGTGTGTGTGTGAGAGAGAGAGAGAGAGAGAGAGGAGAGAGAGAGGAGAGAGAGAGAGAGAGAGAGAGAGAGAGAGAGAGGAGAGAGAGAGAGAGAGAGAGAGAGAGAGAGAGAGAGAGAGAGAGAGAGAGAGAGAGAGAGAGGCGACGTAGCTCAGAGGTGTAATTCTTTATAATCAGAATGCCCAGGGTTCGCGCCCAGCCAACCCGTCTCGCACCGGACCCATCCGTAAAGAAGTACCCGCATCAGCTGTTGGGGTAAGACTCGGGGTAGGAAATGACCGACCATCCTCAGTTCAACATCTCTCAAGTAAGAATCAAAGTTCCTCCCGAGAAATATTCTCCTCACAGCCTCTTCTTCGATAAAAAATTTAGTTTAATCTTAGTTTTTTAAAATTTCCTTGCAGTCTTCGTGAGCTCCTTTCAGCGGTCGAATCAATTCATTATTTTCTTTTGTGGCCTTTTCTCATCTTTCTCATAATATTTCCTCTCTCTCTACTTTCTTTTCTTCGTGTTTCTTTATCACCATTCTTTCAAAAACTCCATTTAGAAGCACGAATCGCTTTTGACAAGCAGGCTGAATACAACACAAAAAACAAGACCTCTTCATCCTTAATTTGAAAATCTTTCTTGGTCATTTCTGGTCCGCGGGCACGAAGAATGGCGACCTGAAACGTCTGGAAATTTCAGAAGCGCGTTTTTGGCAGAGGGCCAAGGAAATCATTTGACCGGAAAGAGTCCAATAGAGATAAAATTCTGAGAACTGTACTTGAGGAAAAGGTCATTGACTGAGGTGACTTACAGGACGCCGAAGAAGGGTATCGGTCATTTACGAACTCCAGGGAAGAGAAAGTCAGTCGGTCACCTCAATTTTGTGGTCACTTCAAGCGGTTTGGAAGTTTGTTAAAGTGGGCTTCTTGAAGGAAGAATAAGAGGAACACGGATGCTGAAGATTGAAATAAAGAAAGATGAAAGAAAAAACACGAAAGAAAGAAACGACTTAAGAATAAGAATAAGACGAACACGAAGAAAGACGATAGAAAGGGGAAAAGAAGAGAAAAAGTTAGTATGAAGAAAGAGGAACATGAAGCAAAAACCCAATTTGACGTAAGAAGAAAGAAAGATGATAAGGGGGACATGAAGAAAGAGGAAAGGAGAAAGTAGAAAATAAAAATAAAATAAAGAAAGGAAAACAATTGACTGATTCGACCGCTGAAAGGAGCTCATGAAGACTTCATGAAAATAAAAAAATAAGATTAAAGTCAGATCTTTATCGAAGAGGTTGTGAGAGAATATTTCTCGAGTGGAGCTTTGGTTCTTGCCTGAGAGATGATGAGCTGAGGGTGGTCGGTCATTTTCTACCCCGAGTCTTACCACAACAGCTGATGCGGGTACTTCTTTACGGATGGGTCCGCTGTGAGAGGGGATGGCGGGGCGCGAACCCGGGGCATTCTGATTATAAAGAGTTACACCACTGAGCTACGTCGCCCCCCCTCTCTCTCTCTCTCACACGCAAAAAACACACATACACATCTACACCCCTTACACACGCACACGCATCATCGCCCCCCCCTCACACACACATCACCACCATCAACACCATCTCTTAGAATCTTTCTCCCTTTCCTTTTCAGGGTGCAGAAGGAGGCGTACGAGAAGGACCTGCTCAAGGAATTGTCTCAAGCTGTTTTCCTCAGTTTGGAGAATCCTTTGACTCTTCCTGACCGTCTCTCTCGCCTACAGGTCAGTCGTTTTTCCTGCTTGTTATTGTTCTCTGTGTTCATTTATTTTGTTCTTTCTCTCTTTGTGTATGTTAATTTATTCATCGGAAAAAAATGTTTATGTCCTATTCTTTACTTTTTCTCAATTTATTTTCCTTTTTTGTTTTGTTTTCTTCTCTCTCAATTTCTAAATCAAATATAAAATAAATATGAACGATAATATTTTCACAGTGCAAGAGATGTATCGATTGTATCCTCATCAGAAATATATATAATTTTTTCTCACTGTGAAGTTATTCTCATTCTCATTAATACATCTTGCCGCAATGAACACAGTTACTTCTAAAAACACAAAGCCAAAGTCAAAGTCAAGGTCGAAATCAAAGTCAAAGTCAAGTCAAAGTCAAAGTCAAAGTTCAGGTCAAAGACAACGTCAAAGTCAAAACCGAAGTCACAGTCGAAGTCAAGGTCAGAGTCGAAGTCGAAATCGAAGTCAAGGTTAAAGCCAAAGTCAAAACTAAAGTCAGAGTCGAAATCAAGGTCAAAGTGAGAATGAAAGTCCTGGTCAAGGTTTAAATCAAAATCAAATTTAAAGTCAAAGTTAAAGTAAAAATCAAAGTCAAAGACAAAGTCGAAGTCAAGTTCAGAGTCAAGGTTAAAGTCAAAATCAAAATCAAAGTAAAAATCAAAATCAAAGTCAAAGGCAAGCTCTAATTCGAGGTAAAGGTCAAAGTTCAAGGTAAAATCAAGTCTAGGTAAAAAGGAAAGTAAAAATAAAGATCAAAGTCAAAGTCAAAGTCAAAGTCAAGATAAAGATCAAAGTCCAAGTCAAAGTCTAGGTCAAAATCAAAACCAAAGTCGTAAATAAAGACTAAAATTTCGAGTCAAAAGTTGTGAATCGAAGTTAAAGCCAAAGCCATAAACATTTCTCCAGACTTTCAATAGCATAAACGATATTCACAAATGCACAAAGTTTATTCAGAATCATTGCAATGGATTATTGTCTTTTATGATCTCTTGGAAATGGTTAATACTCGAACAGTTGGACTAAAAATATGTTGCACGAGAACAGTTTGGCAACAAAATGAAATATATGCAATAAGAGGCAAGCAGAATAAATATTTTCCAAATGCTTTTTACTTTTTCTTCCTTATATCCGTCTCTCTTTCATTTCCAATTTTCCCCTTTCATTTATTTTTTCCCCTCCTTCCCTCTTTTCTGTCTCTCTTTCTCTCCCTCTCTGTCTGTCTGTCTGTCTCTCTCTCTCTCTCTCTCTCTCTCTCTCTCTCCTCCTGTCTCTCTCTCTCTCTCTCTCTCTCCTCTCCTGTCTCTCTCTCTCTGTCTCTGTCTGTCTCTCTCTCTCTCTCTCTCTCTCTCTCCCTCTCTCTTAATTTCACTAATCTCTCTCCTTTTGTCTATGCCCCCTCTCTCTTTCCCACCTCCTAATCTCTCTTTCTCTCTTATCACTACTTTATTGAATCCGTTATCGGCCTTCTATTTATTATCATCATTTACCCCTGTTCCTTTCAGTCTATTCT